TAATTTTTAATCGGCATATATGGGCAAGATTATGCTATAGTGAGCCAAGTATTACAAAATGTAAACTGTAATGACAACACAAATCATATAATATATTATCCNAATATGTAATATAATATAATATGTTAATATAAAAGTAAATATTAACATCAAATCTAAAATTATTTAAAATATTTATTTATAAATATTTAATAAAATTTCAAATGATATTTTAAATTAAAATTATTCTTAATATTCAAACACTCACAAAAATTTAATGTATATTTTATATTGAACTTAAGTTTTACTCATTACCTGAACATCACACACATTTTAAGTATAAAATAAACTAGCTTACTTTATTTAAATCTAAAATAATTTATAATATTTAACCAGTAAGATTAATCGTTAATTTAAAATAAGATATTATAAAAAGTTACTATATTTTGTGGTTATTATAAAGGTGTTAATTTGTATTAATGAAAACATTTTTTAAGAAAATTAGTTTTCGAGTTATAGTTGACATTTGGCTTAACTCTTGTTTATTATTATGATTTATGATGACTTGTAAACAATGTATTATTTTTGTGAATAAAATTATTCATATTAAAATTGCATTTATTTTCTTTAAATTAAGCTGTAAATTTTAATCATTAAATATATTTACTAATAATTAATTTAAAAGTTTTAATTAGTGGAGTACGTATTACACATTCTCAGAAAATAATTTTGTTATACTATTGTATTTTCAATCATTAAAGTATTTTTTAAAATATAATTACAAACTTTAATGAATTAAAAATAATATTTTTAAAAATTAATTATTTTTGGATAACAAAATTGCAACAATATTTGCACAGAATATTCTGTAACATATTCCACTTAAAATTAAAATAAATTCTTAATTTTGTTTATTTTGTCACTTTTTTAGTGAAATAAATTTCTGCATAAACATTTATTTAAATACAAGTTGTGAACATATTTATATTTTATTCACAAATGTGCAATAAAAATAAAAAATCAAATTTAACATTAATTAATTGTTGTGTAAATGAACAGAAATATTTAAATGATTTATTAACCCGGTAGCAAAAAGATTGGGCATATTTTATTTACGCTTAAACTTCCTTTTTAGTGTACTATTAACTTTTAATTTATTTTAAAAATAATACCTTTATATAATTTTTCATATTTAATAATTCATCTGAGTGATATATTATACTAGACTTTGAACAGCCTATATGAAGCACAACATGCTATAACAAGCTAAGTATTTTTAAATGTAAAATTTTGCTAGTAGTTCATTAAAACTTAAATATCGGATTTATTTTACAGTTTTATATTTATGTTTAGTTGATAATTATATTTTTAATTAAATATTAATGTTTAATAAACATTTATAACATAAAATTAAATAAAACTATTATTTATACTCAAAATCGGATAATATATTATATGATTTGTGTTGTCATTACAGTTTACATTTTGTAATACTTGGCTCACTATAGCATAATCTTGCCCATATATGCCGATTAAAAATTATCTATTAGTTATATGTCAAGGTTAATATATAAATAAAAATATATTGATAAAATTTAATAATATGGTTAAAGTTACTTGAAAATAGTTTATTTAGTTAGAAGTCCCGATATTAAAATATTATTTGTGTTATATTCAGTATAGAAATGGTGTTATTTTGTGAGTATTTGAATATTAAGAATAATTTTAATTTAAAATATCATTTGAAATTTTATTAAATATTTATAAATAAATATTTTAAATAATTTTAGATTTGATGTTAATATTTACTTTTATATTAACATATTATATTATATTACATATTTTTTATAATACCAGTATGTAAATTTAACAACTATATACTTAATTTATTAACAACAATTAATTAATTATCTTATAACTTATATATTTGACAAAGATACATTTGGTATATTTTTCTACATTATTTCAAATGTCCACCATGTGATCAGTGAATGTCAAGATCCTAATATAATACTACCATGCTATGGGTGTCAATACAATTACATCAATTGCGGTGGCCATGGTCATATAGATTTACAGACAATTTTCACAAAACTCAGTAATGCATCGAAACCCGAAGAAAAACATTATTCAACATTTTATTTCAACAACACTGGCACCACCATGGTCAATGCGAATACTTTCCAAGATATTACATTTCGTGAAATATGGTTTGAAACAACAAATATAGATACCATACACCCTGATGCATTCATGAAAACCTATGAAGTGACCAATACGGTTAATGTTAGAAGTAACAGCAATCTAAAACCCGATACTATATTTGAAGTATTGAGTAGATTTAGTAATGCCACTTCTATTCAATTGTATGGCAATGCAAAAATCACCGAGATACCACAATATGCATTTAACCGGAGCCAACCATTTCTTAAAAACCTATATTTATACGAAAAATTTAACAAGATTAGTAGTAACGCGTTTACAAATTTACCATCACTCACCACGTTAGACCTACGTGATTCAAATACTATTGATTACATTGCTGCAAATGCCTTTTATATCGATAGTAACGAACCCGATACATTGACCATTAATTTATTCCATGCTAATCTAAATAGTAGCAGTTTTGAACCTGGTGCTTTCAATGTTTCAGACCGCCTTGTTAAAATTTATATGGAATACCAAGTTGGACATATTGTATATCTATATGAAAATGCGTTTCTACCATTTTTCAATGCTGATCCAAATAATGTTATTTATATGGGTAGTAACAACTACTTTGATTGCCAAGATTGTAGATCGTACTGGCTCAAACACAATAAGTTAATTAATCGCACCATTGGATTGAGGTGTTCCGATGGTAAAGAACTTGATGATCAAACTAATTTTGCTAAATGTATTTGATGATATTAAATATAATTAATTATGAGTCAATTCGTTTTTATTTACCCTGAATATCGGCGTATTATCCGCGGATTATACGAGAAAATGTGATTTTTGTAAAAATGTAACAGGGGCACTATACGCTAATTCAGATTATCTGAAGAAAATTATAATATTTTGAAATTAATTCATATTATATTTTTATATTTTATAATAGCATTTATAATATTAAAAGTATTTTTGACCACCGCACTAGCGCCATTAAATTATAAACAATTTTTATGAAAAATATATAATTAATATTATTGAAATGATTACAGTTTATAATTTATAAATTATTATTAATATGTAGGACCGGTCGTCAAACATAAGCACCGGTAGCTTATCGTCGGGCGCTGAGGGGAATAGGAAGTCGGCCAGCAATACGATTATATATAAGATTGCAAATACTAGCCCATAAATACCCTAATTGTGTGGACGTAATAGTACTGGCTGACTAATAATAAATTTACCATCATGCTCGACCTCATAATATGATATGACCTATATTATACCAAGTTCAGTTATTAAAAAGTAATAAATTAGAGATCTTAACTGTTTATAAAATCAATCGGCAATTGTTAAGTCAGTTCCATAAGAAACCCGTAATTACTGCACTATTGGGACCACAAAATCCATGCTTACTATTAGTGTTAATTACTAATATAATATTAAACTGTAATTTAATTCAATTCATTTATAATATTATTGAAAGTGAATTATGAGTTTATACTTTGGAGGAGCTAATGACCGGAGATTAAAAGTTTTATATATCTATATGAATTAAGAACTAAACAATATAATTTTTAAGTATAATCTTCAGTTTGTTTAATTAATTTTTAAAAAGTTATTATAATTAGAGTAGAATTTGAAATTGTTTTATCAATAATCTAAACTGTAAATTAAACAATTTAAACATTTACATATTGTAGAATAAATTATATGTTTTATATTATTGAATATAATTTTAATGATTCCTTTTTAAAATATTTATAAGAATTCTATATTAAAATTATATATAATTATCAATTATTTTATAAACAAAATTATACGTCTCAATACAATTTTATAGGTATCATTAGTACACGTAATAAATTTATTATTTTCTAAAGTAATTAAAATAATATTCATTCAAACAACAACTAATTATATTAAATCAATATAAATTATATAATTAATTAAAAAATATTAAATGTCATAAATGAATGGTTATTAAATTTTGTAGCTAGCTAACAAGTAGAATAATAAATTAATTTATCATTTTAATTTAGAAAACACGCTACATCATTTAAAATTATCTAAAATCTCATTAATATTTCATTATTTTGTAGATAATAAATTATTACAGCTATATTTGATTTAATTGTTTTTATTATAGATAAATTTTGATTAATTAATTTTAAAGAATTTATTAAAGAATTTCAAATAATACAACTAGCTGAAATAAATATTTCAAAACAAACTGGAATAAAAATTAAAAAAATATGAAACATTTTACATGCGTTTAATAAATTAATTAATTGGTACTTCCCTTTCTGCCCATTTATTTTTAATTTATTTTATCTTGCTTAAACTTATTGAATATATTTTTATAATATGGGCATGATACAAAAACATTTGAAATAATAGACATCACTATTATATTTTAATTTTTTATTTTTAATATATGCAATATTTTATATATCTTAAACACGATTTTAAATGGATTACAATAATTGTAATAAACAATGAATGTTTTAACAATATTTTAAATTTATAATATGCTTAACAAATGTTAAATATTTATATAGTTTAATAGTCGATGAAAAATATAATAAAATTTGAATCACATTTATATTTCACAACACGTTTTATCATTAATTTCATAGATTTTCATGATTTTAAAAGTTATTAATTTATGTTAATTATGCATGTTTATATATTAATGGATTCCAATTATGTATCTTGGTAAAATATCCATAATTTGATAAATATTTATTTCATAATAACATGTTTGCTGATTATTTCATAATATAAACAATATAAATTTTTATATGATCTTAATCATTGATTATACGTTAAGTGTATTCTTGAGATTTTGCATCATGGTCAATGATTTAAAACTTATTTATGTGTTAATTAACAAACACTGAGAGGGAGGTGCAATTGTTTATCCAGGGTATATTTATAATTAAAATATGTGCAAAGTATACCACAATTACAATTATGTGTGATTATCACCCTGAACAGTTAGCAACTCCTCATCGTTGCCGTCCATAACCTCTGTCTCATCGTCATTGACAGCACCGGTAGCTGTGGTCGAGTCGGTGAGCGCCTGTTTCGCCAAATACTGTTCCCGTTTGATCTTATGCTCGACATCTTTGGGTATATCGGGCACCAGTAGGTCAATGAGTCGGCATATGCTGAACACCAGGTGCTCGAAGACCACTATGAATACGAATCGCACGAACTGTAGCTTCCAATAGAACTCCGTGTGTCGGCCCGTAGTGTCCCTGAAGTCCCGGTACCGACATGTCTGGGCGGTGGTATTGGCCGGGGATGTGGACAGTGTGTAGTTGACATACCCGGCCAACGACGAGTCGTAATCCGGGCTATTTTGGCCCATTTCGTAGTGGTATAGCATTTTGGGTATGAAGTCCGACGTGAATGCTATGAGAAATGCCTACAAAATAATGAGATCATAAAAAATCTATAATTAATAGTAATTAGTACTTAATTTTAACATTTTAAATTTTTATATAAAGTTAGTTAAAAAATAATATAAAATTTAGTTTTCGGGTTCTCCCAATAATTATGCCAAATATTGTGATGAATATTAAATAATATATTTATTTAAATTATACAGTTTACTCAGTAATTTTATTTTTTTTAATTTTAAATTTTCTTAATAAAATTTATAATTTACTAGCCATATTACTCAAAAATAATTAACTATCAATCAATAAATTTGTTAATGCACCTGTTAATGTTAATGTTGGTTGCTATTTAATTAATTATTTTATAGAATTTTTCTGTTAATGGTATATTAAATATTCATAATCTTGATAATTATATAGAATTAATAATTATTTAGAATAATTAAATATACAGCTTAAATTAAAATTAATTGTCTAGGCCCTGGTTATCCAAAAATTGTATATTAAATAATATATTAAAGATAATAATCATCCTTTAAAATAAAAATACAGTTTATTAATAACTTCATTTATGAATTATATTAAATAAATAAATTTAAAAACATTAATATTACAGCCAAACAGCTCATACATACATTACTGATGACCGCCATATGCGAGAGAAACGTCAAAATGGGAAACCAGACGCCGATGTTGTTGGCCCTCTCGGGCACCGGGCGTCTGGTATGACAGACCAGTTTGTGAGCGTCGAGTCTAATCTCAAACCAATTGTTCAAAAGCGCGAAAAACGGCGCCAAAGGAAAGGCCGCCACAAATAGAGTGATGAAACCGAACTGTAATATCATTTCGAGGTATTCCTCGAACAGCCCCTCGTATGGGATGAGCCGGTAGTCCTGTTCCCATCGCGTGTACCGCCGGTTCCCCTGCGTGTCGATGAGTGTGTGTTTGCGGTGATACCAGGCCTGCACTTTGGGCACCAGTATCTCCCGGGCGTTGTTTATCACTTGCTTTCCGATCATTATTATCGCCAACTGTTGGGTCAGTTCCATAAGACACCCGTAATTACTGCACTATTGGGACCACAAAAGCCATGC